CCCAAACGACGTCATTGCTTCAGCCGCTTGATCAGGGTGCCATCCGGTGTGTCAAGGCCACATACACCCGCCTGGTCTTTGATCGCCTTCGATCGGCAATGGATGCCGACCCGAATCTTGACATCATGAAGTGCTGGGAATCGTTCAGTATTGCGGACGCAGTTTCCTTTATTGGAGCCGCTGTGGATGGATTAACACCAGAGACCGTAAACGCCTGCTGGAAGAATCTGTGGGGCGAAGTCGTGAATGATTTTAAGGGTTTCCCGGAGATCGACCGAGAAGTTAGGAAAATAATTGAGGCCGCCAGACGGATCGGTGGAGAAGGCTTTGTCGATATGATTGATGAAGAAGTGAAAGAACATATCGAAAGCCATCGGGAAGTGTTAACCAATGAAGAGTGGGAAGAACTTGTGAAGTCATCTACGGAGGACGAGGAAGAGGAAAAGGTGAAGGAAGAAGCGGCAGAAGAACCGGCCATGTGGACGGTGGAGAAATTTGCCGAAGTGTTCCAGATTGCTCAAGCTTTAAAGGACAAAATTACGGAATCTGATCCTCGGATGGAACGCAGCATTAAAGTCAACCGTATGCTCACCGAAGCGTTGCAGCCCCTGCAGCAGTACTTTGACGAGTTGAAGAAAATGAAATAAATTCCAATCACAATGTTCTTCCAAAAGGTTTCTTTCGGAGGAAAGCCTTTCAACCGTGGAAGATCTCCGTCCATCGGCGTTGTTTGCTTGTGAACTCCAGCCGTCAACAGTGTCATCGCTCAATGGACCAGGATCCCTCAAAGCAGGTGATATTTCCGATGTGTCCTCACAGGGTCAACAGTAGCCTAAATGCCAAATACCTGCCTCATTCCCCTCCAGACATGAAGGAACTGGCAAAAAGGGGGGGGGATCAAGGAGCTACTGTGCAGGAAAAAATCTTCCTTCTAGAAGATTCTGTCTAACTTCAGATCTGATTGGTGATGGTAAAAATCAAGATAGATGATGCTCAGACGATGGAGTTGTTCAGCCTGATCCCTCGGGAGTAGAGAGTCTCCCTTGTTAGTCTCTCGCACTCTGCATATGCTCTGGGACTGTCCTTCACTCCGACTGTATTGTGAGGAGTTGTGTAGAGGATTATTGATTTCTGTGGCGAGTATTCTAGATTTTTCGAGGCTCCTCATTCTGAACCTTCTTGGATTTGGGTTTATTTCATGTCGTTTTGATTTTTTCTTGAACTTTTGAATTTGTTCTTGAACCTTTATTTTCTTTTGCAATGTCTTTGGTAAAATAATAATAAAAATTTCCCCCCATCAGTTTGGTCATTCCGAGAAGAAGGGGGCTGTTGGTTCAGAAGTTTGAACCTCTTGTGGATATTTTGGTATTCCTACCTGACAAGGTTGGTGTGCAAACCCCAGCAAGCATCGTTGTGATTGTGATCCCAGGAGCATCATGGGGGTCAGGGGGGCTCACAGGGTCAGGAGAGGATTAGACAGAAAGGTTTTCACCAGCCTCCACCACGCCTGACCCTCCTGGAAATTCCCTCCACCAGGAAAGTTTGGGTAGCGGGGCATAGAGGTTTGAGCAGATCTTTCCATTGTGCTTAGAATTTTAACAGGACAGAGTGGCACTATTTTCCCCTGCTTCCTGGACCCTGTGCAGTGAAGGAGCATGCCAGCGTTTATTAACAGTGGCATCATTCCTGCTGTCTCACTTTTTCATTGTAACAAAATATAATTTCTAAATATGAAATTACCAGAACTGGCCAATAGTGGGAGCCAGAGACCGTGCTATATGTATCTTTTGCTAGAGAAATACTGTACAGTACAGTGGTGCCTCGCTTAACGAGCGCACCGTTTAACGACGAATCCGCATAGCGATGCATTTTTTGCGATTGCTTTTGTGATCACATTGTGATGTTTAAGTAGAGTAAACATCGCATTGCGATGTTTTAGCTGATCGGCGATTACAAAATGGCCGCTGGATCAAGAAAATGGCCACCCGCAGTGTTTTCACGCCGATTCCTCGCTTACTGAGGCGGCGAAAATGGCGGCCCTATGGAGGATTCCCGCTTAGCGGTGAGTTTATCCCCCATAGGAACGCATTAAATGGAGTTTAATGCGTTCCTATGGGGTTTTTTGCCCCGTATAGCGACGTTTCCGGATAGCGACGATTTATCCAGAACGGATTATCGTTGCTATGTGGGGCACCACTGTATATATTTCTATGATGTCATTACCAGAGCTGGCCTTTAGAGGGAGATAGAAACCATGCTATTTATCATGTTCACCATTAAAACTATTTGATATCATCCACCTTTTCATCATGTGTGTGGGGAGAGTGCTTGGAAATGATCCCCTGTGGATAAGGCGTTCTTGTTGTATATGGATTCACGTTGAGACCCACTTCTGTTTAATGTATTTGTTTATTTATTAAATTTTTATCTCACCCGTTTCGACCAAGAGTCTACTCTGAGCAGTTTACAAATTTAAAAACAGTAATTTTTAACATCAGAGAGATTTCTTGCAGAGGGAGATGCGGTGTAGGTGCTGTTGCCATTCATTCCAGAAGAATGGTGAACAGATGCTTGAAATCTGTTCACTGTTCTGGCACTGTGACTCAGGTTTAATACTGATCCCGTGGATCCCTCCTGTATAGGGAATCACATTGAGACCCAAGACTCAAGTTTCATACTGATTTCATGGATAAGGGAGTTCTTCTTTAAAGGCACGTGGCAAAAAAAGAGAGGATGTGGGCAAGCAGCTTTCCATCCTGCTCGGGTCCAGGTAGAGGTGGGCAGATTTTAATCCCCCTGCCACAATTCTGGAAGTTGAAGTCTACAAAACACCATTCAAAATACCTCTTATTTTAAGAATAAACCGACCTCTGGGATGTGGGATGACTCAGATCTTGGGCGCAGGGCAAATGTTCTGCGTTGTGTCATGGCAAAGAAATGTCACCGGTCTGCACAAACCAGGAGATGATTAATGCCCCAGATCTCAATATGAATGATACTCACCAGGGGAGATCCTCCTGACTTCCCTTGTTGGCGGTAGCAAAGTTTGCTGCCTGGAGCCACGTCACCGGTGGTTGACCAGAAGTTTAAAAATAGAAAGGAAAACAGCTAAAAATAGGATACCAACAGGGGAATGGTGTTTGGAGAAGCAAGGAATACTCCCTGTGAGGTAGCTGCTTGCTGCTGAAATATTTAGACCAGCTAAGGCCGCCGTTTGGCTTTTTCCATCGTCCTGCATGGGAAGAACATTTATTTATTGGTGACCTTTTGTCTCTCCCTGTTTACGCTGCAAACTTTTGTGGTTGCTCAGGGGTCTGTGCTCCCTACCGTTTCGTCCCCCAAAGCACCAGATCCTAACTCCTTGCTCTGTTTTAGGCTTCGGCACCTAATTCTCCAAAACCAGCTCCTCTTGGGTTATCTGTATGGTTGGGAAAACTGACGGGGGGACCTGATTTGTTTGAAATGTGGCACCAGAAGAGAGCTTTGCCGATAGCCCGGACTGCCCGAAAGACAAATACTGTAAAGTGGGTCCTAGAGGAACGATAGCCCGGACTGCCCGAAAGACAAATAAAGTGGGTCCTAGAGCAAAATCAAGCTTGAATTATCTTTGGAGGGGGAAAAAATGATGAAACTGAAGCTGTCCTCATGAGAAGGGTGGATTCTCTGGACGAGGCCATAAC